GTCGTCCTACCTGCTATCAGTCAGTGTAAAGCCCTCTTGCAAAGACCGCAGCGAACATTCGTCCGCCGCAAGCAAAAGTGTGGAGCGAGAGGATCTGCAAGGGTTATTCGTAACAACGTTGGAAGCAGCCACATTATATACCTCAACTACAAGCTCATCTGAGGGGAGCAAGGCAATATACGACGAAGTGTATACCAAGCCCTCACGCACTAAACCCTGAAACCCTAAGGAGCATCATGCGGCTGTCGCTACCATGGAGTTGGAAGCAAAGGTCGCCGAGGTGGCAGAAGCAGAGCGTGCCTTGGCTAGGGCTCAGGGATTTGACGGGTCGTGATATGGGTACCGTTTGTGGGGGATGCTAGAATCTAGAACCCTAACTGAAAAACTCTACATATCAAGACACGGATCCGCTCCCGCGATTTCCCCTGAAGAGCCAGTTAGGTACAGGCGGAGCAGCTCAAAGATTGCTGTCCGTGACTTGTGATGCATCTGTTCGCCTGACGCATGATTTGAAGATTAAGACCCCGTCGCGGTCGCTTCTGGACCTGTTGATGTGCAACTTTGGTTCCAACTGCACGACCCAACTGGAGGGTATGGCGTTCCTCCGCTATGTGGCGCAGGGGGAGCACGAACGTTTCATGAAGTTCATTGACGAGAACTCCCAGAGCACATCTCCAGCAAGGTCCTTGCCTATCGACCTGAAAGACTCCAGCGGTGTGACTTTCAAGGCGGAGCTCTTCCATGTCACGGTTCCCAGCCTCTCGGGCGATGGGGAGCATGAGCACTTGATTGGTATCACTAACGATCTCGCGGATGATCGTCTGGGACGCATGGAGCATACATTGGAGGATCTTCCGGTGGCATCATTCCAGGGCCTGCCGATGATCAGCGAGGTTGATTCGAGATACCAAGGAACTGGAGCCCTTTCGCATTCCTTTGCACCTTCGCAGAGGCATAGCTGTGGGAAGAGTAGCGTATCCAGCAGCAACAGTAGCAAAAGCTCAAGAGCACAACTCTCAACCATGCGTGAGATCAGCGAGATGGACTTGGTGATCGATCTTGAGACGGTAGATAAGGATTTCCGTATTCTGTCGATTACCCTACACTTCGCCACGCCAACTTCCTGCGCCGAGAACGCTCTCCCGAATCTGGTGGAATGGCTCAAGCCGCGGTACCGGCAACAGGTGCACAATTGGATCCAAGAACACGCTAACGCCCATTATGCGGGACGGGAGTACAGGGAACCCCTCCGGGGTATCAAGCTGAGCCTGAGCCTAACAGAAGACGTTTAAGTGCTTTTTCAATTGGTTCCTTGCGCTTTTTGCCAACCCAAGCCCAAACTCGAAACCGTGGGTTTCTTGGCATAAGCAAGCGTGGGATCTCTCTGAGCGAAGCCCGGAAAGGGCGGGACATCCCTGAAACAGCTTCTGCTTGTGTCATCCCTGTGGCACCCCAGGTTTTCGCCCTTCCCAAACACTTCCACACTTTTGGCCGGCGAGCTCAAGTGCAAGGGAATCACTGAGGAGGAGGACGGCTCGTCAGATCAGGATGAGTCTTCTGCTGCAGGTGAGGACAGACGCTAGATTGGGAAACTCAAAACCCCAGCCCGACGGACTGGAAGCCCGACTATCCCAGAAGGCCACAGCTGTAAAGCCCCAAATCCTCAATCCGTCGCAGGTATGCTCATGGAAATCTCCATCCGGCAACTTTTTGTTCATTGAGATGAGGGCAAGTTAGTTCTGTCCGAGCTAACATGAGCCCAAATGAAGTGCGAAGCGCCGTTTGATGCCTGATCACGGAATAGTTTCACGTTTTACTTTTCTGCTACCGCAAGGTAGAGCACATGGTTCTCCAAAGTCGACTCATTAGTCATTAGTCCGTTGCCGTGGCCGCTATCATGGCAAAAGCAGGGTCGAAAGACAGGGAACCCTTGCAGGAACCCTTGAAGAGACCCCAAACCCTGACTGTTTGAGCTTGGCCTTCGCCGTGTCCCCAAACCCTGTGAGCCCTTACAAGCCTGATCGAGACCTCGAGCCCTGGCCAAACGCCCTGAAACCCTGAATTGTCGATCCGGCGGTACAAGGCGTAAAGAGGGGGCCCCACGAGAATCTAGGGCCGTGATTGTGTAGAGATAGTTTCGCGAGACTCTGTTCCGCTCGTCGAAATAGCCATCGAACAAGCGGGCCCTGAACATCATCACTGGACCATAATCCCTGAGCCCTACATCCTCAGCCTCTAGCTTCGTTTGGTGGGTAGGGTCTGGAAGCGCTTTCGGAAAGTCGTAGAGGCTTTCGGTGACTCACAGGTGTCAAAACTTGCAACGTTGGAGTGGGGAGCTTCGCTGCAGGAAGGCCTGATGAAGCCTCATTGGATGCAGACTGTCGAATTTTTGTTGGAGACTGTGGGCTTCAGGGTGCTGACTGCGGAAGATGAGGACGACGATGATGAATACAGCGTAACTATGATGGTGATGATGATTATTGGTGAGATGGCGGCGAGTATGGCGGCAACAGCGGTATCCTTGGTGATTCGCCTTGTTACGAATGACATGACAGATGATGCAGCCTGTGTGGGGGCTCCGGCGCGTTCTCTGCCGGTCAACAGCAGGAATGGCGCCCTAAACCTAAGCTTCAGACCCCTTCCAAATAAGGACGACCTAGAACATCCTTAAAAAGCCCTGAACCCTAAACCATAACCCTAAACCTTTAAAGGCCCTAAACCCTGATAAGCT